ATTTTAAATCATATCTTTGTTTTTTTCCCTTCTAGCTGATCAATGTGCAACTACTAGCAGAGATGGCATTTGTCTGACCCTCAGTGGTGCCCTGCTGCTGCTCTGTGACTTAATCATTTTTGGGCATTGCCACAGTGGTCTGGAAACATCACAGTCTGCACATCTACAGTAAAACCACAAGCATATTTTGACTTCAATACTATCCTGTCTGACCCTCTTTGTTCTACAGGACTGCTGTGTCAGTCAATTTAGAGAGAAATGTGCTTAATCTGAGATCACTGGTTTTTACTTTTCTTTTACTGGAAGTCAGTTGAGACCAGGTGAATATAGACAACTGGTCCAAGCCTATATTGGAAACTGTTTCGCCCCTTTTCTGTGGTCTGTTATCACCATCAAAACCAAATTTTATTGTCACATGTAGCAGATATGAAATCTTGTGACTGTTCCCTGATTCTCTGCTCCTTTGGGCTCCTTAGTTTATACGATCACTGTGGGATCATTGCTGAGATTTAAAGATTATAGCCAATTCCTGTGCAGGTTTTACGAATGCATTTACTTTATTTGGTGACTGACATATGGTACTGGGTCCAAAGACTGATGTGGTGTTTAAATCTTCCATGCACACGAGAGATAAGAATTTTTTCTGTCCATGCACACGAGTGGTTTAAATATTTACAGTTCAGATAATTCATAAATTCCCTTACACACTATTAAATGGGACCTTATAACAGAACCTATTTCACACCAGAAACACTCCATAGGATAACTGAATCAGTCTCCTTTGGGAAAAATTGGGAAGAACCAAACTTTGTAACAGTGCTCTGCTTGTTTACAGCCATTTACTTTAGTGTTGTTTTAGTGAAGAAGGGGGCCTTTTGGGCTCAGCTGGCCCAGGGTCTACTGAAGCAGCAGTTAGGTCTTTGATGGTTGCTGAAGCAATCATCCGGGTGTCGCAGGAGTTCGGGGAGGACTTTCTCATCTGATTAAGATGACGTTTTCCAGGCATTTCCAACCGGTAGGAGACCCCGGGGCAGAGCCAGAACAACACACTGGAGAGATTATATATATCAACCAGACTGAACAGACCACACTGAGACCCTCTACAGGAAAGGACAGAACAGGCTGTTCTTTCTGAGGAGGCTCAGGTCCTTCAATGTGTGCACTCAGCTACTACGGATTTTCTACCAGTCTGTAGTGGCCAGTGCCCTCTTCTTTGCTGTGGTGTGCTGGGGAGAAGGCATCGGGACTAGGGGTGTCATCAAGCTGAGCAAGCTGGCGAGGAAGGTCAGCTCAGTGGTGGGGATGGAGCTGGACAGTGTGGAGGCTGTGACTGAGCAGAGGATGAAAGGGAAGCTGAAAGCCATCACGGACAACCCCTCTCATCCTCTGTACACTGGGCTCAGGCAGCTCAGGAGCACTTTCAGCCATCCGACTCCACAACGCCATAGCACCCAGTACCTCCAACCCCGGCTGACTAAGACTGGTTTTAAATTCAACCAAACTTATATTATTTATCTTAAATTGCACATGTACAGTTTAGTTTTTTATCCAAGCTGTTTAAGCTATTTTTAATTGCACACCATTGTACTTGTGTGTGCTTATTGCTTATAGTGTATATACTTTTATATACTTGTTATAGATTTATATTTCTATTATATTTTTTTATATTCTTATCTGTGATGAGATTGTACTTGTACACTGCACTCTATATTCCCCAATGCTGCTGTGTGTAACTTGAACCCAAACCTGACCCCGGATAAACAACAAAAAATGGATAGTTTTAGTGCAGGTTTACGAATATATATATCAACAACCATTCTCAGTTTGAATGTGTATGAATGTGACTTTGGTGATCCCTGACTTTTCCTCTAGTGCCACCAACAAGTTGTCCTTGTGGTTTTGAGTGAAATGTCAAAACAACTATTGGACAGACTGATAAAATTGGGTACACACATTCAGGTTTTCATCAAGTGCCATCAGTTTAAGAGCTAATAAGCACATGTTAACTTGCTAACTACGATGGTAAACATTAAAGCCGACTTGCTAAACATCAGATTGTTGTCATTTTGAGCATGTTAGCATGCTGACATTAGCATTAAGCTCAAAGCACCACTGTGCTCTGCAGGCCTATCTTTACAATTTTAAGGAAAAAGCATTAAAGCAGCATTTTGAATATAAAAAGAATGTTTTCTTTGTTTAATATATTTTTAAAGGACCTGAATAGGATTTAATGGCACCTAGCAGTGAAGTTTCAGATTGCAGCTAAACGAACGCCGCTCGTGTTTGTATTTGACGACCTGGGAATGAGAACAGGCTGTCTGTAAGTGTGTAGGAGAAGCTACATTGACCACATGGTGGTTCAACGTAGCAGACTCAATGGGAGGCGACCTGCAGCGTCTGCAGATAAAAACGGTTCATTATAAATTAACAAAAACACATCAATTCCTATATTCAGGCGATTATTCACTAATGAAAACAGAACTCTGAATTCCATTTCAACCCAATGATCCTCCTAAATGTTACACACTTGACCTTTAAGTACTCTTGATTGCAGACTCATTCCTACTTTAATGAATTCATGTAAAGTTATTCATGTTTTGCTTGATACATTCTGACAATTTTCCTGAAGCCATGAATCTTTGAATGGAAGTCAGGACCTCAGTCTGAAAGTGTTTTACAGAAGAAAAGTACCCTGTACTTTCCCACAGAGCTGGCACACTGTCAGTCCTTCTTGTTTTTTCCCCAACATCTTGTTGCCAGACCTAACCTCACACTCTTCAGGGTTTGCCATGCACTGCTGTGTGCTTCCACATAAACATGAAATTAATTGTACCACAAAAAAATGCATCAAACAAACAGGTGTGTATATTTTTTTCTTGCATTAGCCGAATAATGAAGCTTTGTTTTCCTGCCCAGAGTTGTATAAAGATGTTCTGGTGTATATTGGTTTATATCATGTTTACACATCACTGCATTACAATGTTACAGTGGGATGAAGGAGCCAATTTAATTTAAATGTAATCAGTTGAGGCTGTTAATGTTACTTTGAGTTAAAGTCAACCGATGTACATTACATGGATTCAGACTAAGTCAAAATTTCTAAGTGGTATCATTGTAAATATAAAAGGTGAATTTCAGTATGATTTTGTTTTCATATCAAACTGAAAATGTCAAAATGTTCAACAAGAGGGACCACATGTATGATGACTTAAAGTCCAATTTGTTTTGATAATTCATTTATTACATACATTTTTGTTCAGTGATTAATCCCTTGTAATGTACAAAAGAATGTTGTAATGTATTTACAGTAAATCACATGTTTGAGGGGGCCTCATAGGACATAAATCAAACTCACACACACAGATGATACCACATAAACATGCCAGTGAAACCTCACAAAAACCTAATATTTATTACTTCATTTAGCTGTGTGAGAACGCAACTGTGGTAGAAATTTATTGGATATGACGGAAAGTTTAATTTGTGTATTGACATGGTCAGTTAAGTCAAGAGGCCTCTTCATGTGGCATGCGTTAAACAAGGAGGCTTTGTATGTCTGGTGGTGAATTTAAGGTGGGGTCCACACTCCCTTGATGATACTGAATGAGAAACTATTTTACTCCAGTCCATATATGGGGCTTTTTTCACATTTTTATTCGAGACTGTTCTTTCTGTTTGAGAGCATGACTTACTGATTTGATGTTCAGATTTCCCCTCAAAACTCTGCCACTCAGATATTCTGCTCAAACTGGATGCTTGCACTCAGATATATTGTTGCTTGCACAGATTTCCTCTAGCGGTTCTCCTCACAAGCTGCTTCTGTCTCTCAGATTTATCCTCTTCTCTTGGATTTGCAATTATCCTGTCACACAAACAGAATGCCAGATGTAGTATTGACCAATGAAATGATCCCTGCCTCGTTGCAGGCACAAATGCTTTACTTCTTAGAGCACCATTGTAAAAAAAAAACTTACTTGAGGTTCTTGACTTTAGCGGTCCATGTTGGACAACAATTCGCAAGGCTCCCTCTTCTGGGTCATTAAGGTGATGCACACAGACGAGAGGCTCACATAGCTATTACAGTAAAAGAGTACGGGCACTGATATTACCCATCCCTTTATTCAAAAAGTTGTAAAGAAAGCAAAAAAAATACATATAATAAAGCCTTGGAGGGCAGGAGGGGATGAACCCGGATAAAAGGTAACATAAATTCCCATAAGGGACACTATAAGTAAAAAAATTCATCAGCCAATAATACACCTGGCTTTGTTTTGGTTGGGGAATTCTGACTGGGTCGTTGCCCAAAAAATCAGAGAGCAGAGGAGACATTTGAGAGCAGACCTTTCATGAGCGCACAGCCTGAGTATGAAGAGAAGGGCTGAAGCTGCAGGAAATCTGTGGAAGCATCAATATGTCAAGCATTTAATTTGATAACCTGACGCAGCCAGATATTTTCTTGCTCTCACAAAAGTCATCATTGGAAACTGTTTGTAAAATGACACTTTCATAAAATACTTGGCAGGTGATTGGATGAACCATCTGTTTATAACAGGCAAACTTCAGCCAATCCAATCAATAAAGCTTCTTTCAATCAAGAAATACTCTCCACACCTGATGTAACTGATGCTATAGTTGCAACTGATGTTGTCACTCCTAAACCAAACCTGTAGCTGCCAGTAGTTCCTCATCAGACGCTGATCGGTCACAAGCACGTAGCTTGAAGCCTGGCAAGACGGATCCTAGTGATGTTGTGAATCCTCGAAGGGTAAACAGAGAGCAGAATTAGAGCGAACCGGAGTAAAGGCTTATTTGAGGGCGAGGGCAGGGTTTTAAGAGAAAGCATTATAAAATCTTCATCAAAATCAATGAATCATGTTCTCAAACCGAAAGACCACGCTTTTGAACAAAGATAGGAAAAAAATGCCAGTACACCAAGATCTTCTCTGATATCAGATTTGTGTTGTAATGAACTTTTATATTCAAGGAAGGACAACTGAGGCTAATCGAGTTATTCTTTTATTCAAAATCAGCCAATGATATTTTAAATGATACATGTTGTGTATGTTCAGGTTTTAACTCTTGTGTATGATTTCACTGATGTTTATGAATGTTTGAGTTGTAGCCTATGCGCCCTATACATGCAGTTGACCTTTTTATATTACAAAACGTTTTATTTACAAACATTTTACAACTTAAGACCTTTATGTTTTCGATACAGTAAAACATGTTATAGTAAATGTAGCAGGAAGTACTTTCCATGAAACTTCCTGTGTCCATTTGATGGATTTTTACAAAACAAAATGTTTATATTTCTGCTTAATATTCAGACCAGCATATTTTTCTTTTAGTTGTACCTGTTGTACGTCCTCCCGTCCTCACAACATCAACAACAATAAAGCATCTGTTAGCCGTGTTTACACAGCAAAGAGGGGAAGGAGAAAATGAGGCAGCAAAAGTACATAATGCAGTGCATGAGGCACAGTTATCGAAAATGTCAGGAAGGAAAGAGAGAGAGAGAGAGAGCGAGAGAGAAAGGTTGTATCTCTTTTTGTTCTTTCTACATTTGCATTTTGGTCATTTTCTGGGGAAACCTATAGTTCCTCATAAGCACCTGGTTGTGCTCAGGCAGAGAGGCTGTGGTCTCAGTGAGGCAGCAGGCTGGTCAGCGGGGCGAACGGAGGAGGGTTGGACTTAATGTGGGGATTTGATGATTAAGAAAAACTCTGTGTGGCAGCTGTCGTTCCTGCTGGGGGGAAATACATCGAGGCTTCCTGTATGAGCAGGACAGGATAAAGGGAAGAGAGACAAAAGAAACGATTGAAACAAAGAAAGAAGTTGACCACATACTTCAACAAATGTGTGATCTCACAATGATTTCCAATATTCTGATGAAACTTTGCCAATAATCAAACCAATCACATCTCACTTTTTTTGTCAAACTGCTGTTTTGGATCAAGAATAAATGTTCACACTCTACCTTTGATTGGTTTCTACAGAACTGAATTCCAGTAAACAGCCTCGTTGAGCATAAGAAAAATTGGTTTATTGTTCTGGGTGCTAAGATTTATTGCACAGATCAAACCAGTTCTGCCACAACCAGATCAGTCAATCAAATGTGGGTGGTCAAGTGTGGACACCTAAACAGTCTTTTTCCACAATTTCTGAATTAAAGGCACCCTGTAGTTGAAAACAATTGAAATGTATTTATACAACTGGTAAATAACTCAAGAGGTTCAGTCCAACCTTTATGCACTCTTTGATGTGAGATGAGGTTCAGGCCATGCAGTCATAATGATAACAAAACAGATATGCTTGTGGGTAACTGGTTCTGCCTGATAGCTTAAGAGCCAGTGGTGGAACAAGTTTACATCTTAGTGTTGAGTTTGCTTCCTGGGAACACTGAAATAAATACATCATAGTTCAGGTGCCTTATCTGAGGTGACATGTTCACTTTTTCATAAAAGCCTGTAACTGGATAGAGCCATTGTATTGTGGCCATTTTACTTTCTGCCACAACCAAATAGTGTATCATTATATACATGCATCATATCTCCTGAACCAACCATGGTAACACAGAAAATGTATTGACATTTGATGGTGAAACGGTGTTACAATTATACCATAAATTGTCCAGGTGAATAGTTAATAGTGACGTTGTGAGAATGATATTATAGTAAATGGGAAAAAGAAAAAGTTAATCTGACTGAACCACACAACAATAACTTGTGATTTCAGCCATTACAGCAAGGATTTTTGTGTCGGGTAATGTAAATTAGTTACGGACATTCAGTTTAGTTTCTAGTTTGCCAATCCAGTGAGGGAATGGTGGACTCTACCACTATAAAAAAAAAAGCTTAAAGAGAGTTAATTACTGGATGTAAATATGCTTAATGACTGAAAAAAAGTGTAAAAGTATCAAAAATGGTGTTTCTGAAAAGGATTAAGGATTAAAATGTTTATGTTTTTTAAGCCTGCATTATTTATGTCAGCTTGTGGCTTCTTTGTGTTCTTCTACCTTTTACGGCTGATCGTGGTACTGCAGGAAAACACTCCAACTCATCCAAACTAGTGGTAAAAAAAAAACTCTGCAAGGTACCTTTTAACTAGAGTTGAAAATATCTGTGCTAAGCTCTGTTTTGAGGTAAATCGAGGACAAACAAAACGTGATTTGTGTTTGGATGAATCAGTATTTCAAATTATGCAAATTAAGTGAATGGGGAAAACCTCTTTCTTTTTGGAGTATGATCCTGGAAACAGTGAGACATTAATGTGATCCTCAGTGAGAACTAAATAATTAGAGGTTTGCTGTGGGTCATGTTCACATCTGAACCAGATGCCAGTGTTTAGTCACATATTTCCACCTGCTTTTAAATTCAAAATTCAAATTGCTAAAAGCCTTTTGTCTGTCTGAATTAAAATGCCTAAAACCAAGTTGTAACTACAGAGAAAATGGATTCTGGGTAGTGATGGTGCATACTAAGTGTTTTAACAAGATTCACATGGAGTTTTTATCCACCCACACAATTGTAAACCAAATAACTGGATGAATGAAACCTTTGATACACCAAAAACAGCACAGACGTCATAAAATATATCACTGCATAACTACTGTATACAACTATAATTGTAGTCATTATATAAATTGTCATTATAATTATCAAGCTAAAAGCAAAAAAAATTAAGTTTAATTTAGTTTAACTTATATGAAACCAAAGTGAATATAATGAAATTACAAAAAATATGGCTAAAACTAATATATGTTTTTATTAAAACAGAAGCAAAACTTCCACTGACAACTTTTATTTTGAAAATAAAAAGTGCCACAAGTTAAGAGAAAGTTAAAAAGGTACAAACCTGATATCTCTTTTTTATGTTTTCACTTTTTATGTTGGTGGAAAGTTTTTATGACTTTGTATTGTTTGTAACAAAGAACATCCATAATCAATAATGAAATAAAATTAGTAAAAAAATAAATTAGTAGGGTACTTCCTGGATATAGACGATGGTCGTCTATCAACAGTTGTTGTCGAGGGTTTTGCTCATGATGGTTTGTCATGATATCTTTTGCTGGTGTGCGTGTGTGTGCGTGTGCGTGTGTGTGTGTGTGTGTGTGTGTGTGTGTGTGTGTGTGTGTGGCGTGTGCTCTTGTGTGTGTGTGTTGACCACATACTTACTGGGTGGAGCTGGTGAACTATGTGTGTGTTGGCATTCATCAGCAGAGGAGCTGTAGGGGAAGATGCTGTGCTCTCAGAGGCCTCGGTCACAGGGCTGTTACTCCTCTGACACAAAACAAAGAGAAACACACACACACACACACACATACACACAATATTATTATTATTGTATTAAGTACAATGTTCTCTGATGTAATGTGCACGCATGAAAAAAGTAAAACAGTCACATTACAAATGATGAGATCCGATTATAAGTCTTAAGCTAGCAACACACTCTGATTAGAAGATTGTTTTGGCCATGATCATGGAAAGTCTGCACAGTTTGTCTTGTTTACATTTCAAATGTCTCATCTCCCAAATGAGCAAAAGGTCAGTTGGACCCATCACAATTAAAACATGTCTTTTATTTATGACTGTAGTCTGAACAAACCTAAATGTGATCCAATAGTTTGGATAACTAAAAAATGAACAGAGGCGACTGTAATCTGCAAAATCAGTTCAGTCACACACTTATGTGACAATTTATAGCAAATAGTTCAACAGTTAGATTTGGCAGCTGTTTGAAGGAGACAAAACACAAATATATAAATGTCTCATGTGAAACAACCCAGTCTTCTGAAGTTTGGCATGAACATCTTGTGTTCATGTAGGACTTCATCGCTCACAGAAGAAACCTGACTGAAACATTTTCAGAACCTTTAAATCAACATAAAAAATGTAAGGAGGATTTGGAGGGAGCTGTAGCAGCAAACTCCACTGGCATATGCGAGTGTATCAGCAGAGTATGAAGTGTCAGTTTCTAATATTATAATGTACACCTGTATGAATATGATTGGACAGTAAAGTCAGCCGATGATAAAGAGCAGTGTAAAGCACGAATCAAGTGTAAATGGTGACATCACCCATTGGTTTATGTGGTACCGTTTTGAAGCCAGAGTTTGGCGTTAAGGCTGTCGCATTGACTCTTGATTTATATTTGACCAGCACTGCCTAGTTTGACAGTTTGATATGAGGTTAATGCGGTGCACTGGATGAACTCGCTGAAAATGACTTGTCAGTCAGAAGATATCCATAAAGCGTACTCTGCTTTATTGTCTATTTTACTCTAAACTGGACCAAAATTGACAAAAAACAAAACAAAAAGAACACCATGCTGTATGGAAGAAGACTTGAAACAAGAGATTGAGACCATAAATGTATTAGGGAACTGTTCACTGAGCTGATAGATTGAGTTAACAGTAGGGTAATCTTTCCATAAGACTCCATACTATCAGACTTTTTTGGGGCATTACACATGTTTTAGGCTCTGCCAAGCTGACTTCACTTCACAGAACCAGAAGCTAACATCCGCAGATCTTCTCCACCAATGTCAAACACACAGCATTTTATAAAGCAGCTAATTAAAAAAAAAACGAAGAAATTAATGTGAACTGTTCATTTTAATCAGTGTGCACTGAACTTTGAGCAAGCTCTTGTTTAGCACGAAGGTGCACAACAGTGGTGAAGAGTGAATGAAACAGCCATTCAGCTAATGCAAGAACAACTCAAGTGCTCTGCCTGTGTGGGAGAAAACTGTGTTAGGGAGGGTAGTAAATATATGGACCTGAGTTAAGGGGTTGTGTTTTATGGCATGGAATGTCCTAATTAGCAGTTGGGTTCAACAGTAGGTCAAAGCAGATAAGGCCATGGAGAGACCTGGACTTGACATTAGTAAAATAAACAGGACAGACAGGGGTGTTCACTGTTTTACGATGTACTGAGATGAATATAAGGGAGAGCATTCTAGAAGTCTAGAGGGAACGTCTATGCTGTGGTCTTCCCTCCATGCTACATGAGTAAAGGAATTGATTTATCACACTGGGTTTGTAATTCTTCAGAGAACTAGCACCTCTCCAGATTATGGAAGAATTTCCCCGACATTTTGGTGACGAGGATGGGATGGACGTGCTACTGATCAACGCCTGGGTCTGGACTGAAGGTAACTCCGGGCAGGGAAAGTTCCACTCCGACAAACGGAGGACAGGATCCCGCCTGATGTCAGACTCAGGTGGTGGACAGTGACCGCTCCATCCATGGGAAAAGTGAGCACAGTCTTGAATCAATTCAAGAGTGAAAAAGCCTAGGTAGACAGTGCATTTTGAGTGGTTGTGCCTGGTCTGTGCGTAACCGAGGGGAACTTGTGTAGGTCCCAGTGTCTGAGTGGTGCTAGGAGCCTGTTTCCATGTAAAACCTATGGTGGTGTTTAGCAGGATCTCATGTAAATGCCAAAGGAGGTATTGGAACGGGGTTTCAGGTGCGGCCGAAACCATTAAAGCAAAGAAAAAGACAGAAAAAAATAAAATAGAAAAGACAATTAAAACAACTAAAATAGAAAATCTGAACTAACACTAACATCCATCTGTTGAATGTGCGACGCTGAATGTTTTCACAGGTGGGTCATGTACACATTATTCTGCAATTATGGGAGTTGCTTCAATTTTTCACGTCCTATTCAGCACACACGTCACTTGGTGCACACAGTTAGTGACGAGAAGTCTAATCGGGTCATTTTAGTGATGCAACACATTCCTCCCTGTAAAAACCTTTGATGAATCGGGGCCTCGGTATTGTTTTGGTCTCCATTTGGGTGGTCTGTCTGCAGCATGCTTGAGGTTAAATCCCAAACTGTTGGAGGCTGCCGATCTATAAATTTTACAAACTGTTAGTTTCCCTGTCATGTATAATCTACTGCCGCCAGATAGGAGGGAAAGAACATAAAACATCTGCAAAACAATTAACGTAAACATATTGACATGACAACTAATCATCTCATAGGTATGAAGCAAATAATAATTTGTCACTCCTACAGCTCTGGAAACTTCTGGGACTCTGATATTAAGAGTCTTACACAGAGGAGTCAGCAATCAACTCAGTACTGAATCATATTAAATTGAATAAAATGAGGAGGAACATTTAAATACATTCCTATTGTTAAAACATTATTATTAATAATATATTAACAACTGATTTAGAGAATTACGGCAGTTCAGGGAGGGATTACATTGTTCCAGAGAGGAGACCTCCTCTGCGATACAATGCAAATCCACTAGTTTTGGCAGCATGCAGTGAAGGAAGATGAGAGCCTGTGTGGTCTGTTGACATGTCTTCCAGATTAGACCCAGCATGAGCTTTTTCATAGACCACAAATAAACTTGTCACACCTGTTAGCAAGACAGCTGAAGCTCTGCGGATCCAGCAGACAAAATGTTTTTCTTGACTCACAGGTTGGTCCATAAAATTAAACATAAAAAAGTCTTCAAATTGTTGTTTTGTAAGAATATATATTCAGGTTTATAAAATATTCACATTTGAAGAAGCTGGAAACAGTAAATATTGTGCTGTTTTAAAAAATATAATGAATTGATTAGCAAAGAACGTTCTTTCTTTCTCTTTCCTCTGTTCTCTTTTTCTAGTAACGAGCAGCGAGCAGAGACAGTGACTTTTGTCTTGGGGCATAGCCTTAAGACACACCTCTACCGTCAAATCTGTTTATTATTAAATTTGGGCACAGACATACCAGATGTTATTTTGACATCAAACACCACATATCTAGGAGAGTGGAAACCAAATTTTGTTTACACTAGTTTGTTCCCCTGTAATGACCTCTATATTCTCCTTTCAAACCTCAAAACCACAGTAATATGATGAGCATGCAAAGCATATTTCAACATATATAATTTAGAAGATTTTATCAAATGGTTTTGGAGTCTTTAGGGAGAGTTTTCTGTCTTTGACTTAGTGTCTGATGTTTTTACAAGCGGAAGCTGCAGGAGGAGGAGTGAAGGAATGCTTTTGATAAACCTTGTTGATGGACTGGTGCTTAGCATCCAGAGACAGTCCTGGGTAACCCTGCTGATACATATTATCAGAGGTGAAAGAGTTCTCCCTCCAGTATCAGGAAAAACTGTTCAAACAGGTACATTAACTGATCTCAATAAGCATTTCTCATTCTCCAGGCTGGAAAGTGAGGGAGACAACTACGTTCAGAAGCAAACTTTAGCATTTTCTGAGTTTTAGGTTTGTCTTGCTGCATAAGGAACTTCATTTTTGCGAGGCAATAAAGGTCCAAACAGAACTGTGGATTGATTTTAAGCTACAAAGTAACCTTGTGTATTTCCAACATTAAACATGTTGGGACCCAGAGCGATAAGCATGAGTTTATTGTGCAGGCAAACCGCTGCCCTGCTGCTACGCTGTTGCAACAAAACAGCATTTGGACAGATGTGGACCTATTACCACTTTAATGTTTCTGATTTGGCAGTGACTGTTTTTCAGCCATCTATCCACAGCATGTGAGTATCCCACGCTTTAATTAAGCAGACAAATTTTCTTTCCATCAAACACAGCATGTGGTCTTGAGACCATCCGTCTGAACGCTGGTATGCTGTGGAAGGAGCACCACGTTTTGCAAATTAGCTGTGGCTACAACTAAAAACCATGTTACGGCTTATCTCTGGTTGCACACTGTGTGTTCCCACCAGAAATGATTTAACCGAGCCTGAACATTCCTACTGCACAGTAATTTATTGTAGCCATTTAACTGATACTCTTTACACCTGATGTCAAATTTGATATCACACCAGGATATAACCAAAGAATGAGACCACACATCCCATTTGAGGGTAAAAAATTTGGTGTTTTAGAATCAGAATCAGAAAAATAAAATACCACCCAACTCAATAACATCTCTGTGAGTTTGAATTACATTCAGTTTGCCTCTGTTTCTCCATCTACTATCTGAGTCGTATTGTTCAGAGATTAAGCTAAGCTCTCTGCTGTCACTTTTTAAATACACAGTGAAATAGGCTGGGACCTACAGCTACCAAATATGTGATTTATAAGTCAACTAAATCACTGACCATGCTATGATATGCAGCCAGAATAGCGTTAAGTAGTTGTTTTATGGATAAATAAATTTGAGTTTCTGTTAAGGGATGCTGTAAATCTGAACATTAGGTCAGACATGAAGGTATTTGGCTTTAAAAGCTGTACAGAATAAAGATTTTGTTGCTGTGTAATCATCTCTGAAATCTCTGTAATGAACTCCAGCCGTCTCCTGAACCCACTGCTTGTCTTTTTACCGTCAGCTGACCATGGAGGGATGATACTAACTGACAGGTCTGGAGACTTGGTTTACGCTGTACCCCGAGCCAGATCCAATCTGTGCACAATGAGTCCCACATTGTGGATGGCATGTGAACAAAAATTTCTGGACATCCCCAAACTTCCCCATTGCTTTTTCTTATCCATTTATCTACACACAGCTTGTGCATGTTGAACAATAATGGCTTCAGTCATGAGGGGTAAGACTTTAACCTGTGGTTGGATGCTATCAGTTTTCACTGGCAGACTTTGTGCTACAGGTCTTACATCAGACTAGGAAAGATGCTTCATAGAAGGCACTGAGTGCAAAAACAAAAGGTAAAGGTAGGTTTGTTTTTTTTAATGAAATATTTGAAAGAACTGTAACTGCAAATTGAATATTAAAGGTGGCATGAGTGGAAGTCGCAAATGTATGTGAACAGATACAGATTCAGTCTTGTTGCCATGAATTTAGGCAATTACGCTTCTGCTCAAGCTTGTTTTGAAGTTTTTCTGCCCCAACAAATCAATGAGAGCAACTTTCAACAAAAAAAATAGAAAAAGTAGTAAAATATCCTTTACACAGATAAAATCGCCTTAAGCCTAAGGTCTAAGGCCTGAGTTACTTACTTTTAATTGAGTTTAAAGAAGTTCTCCACACTTAGACGTGTTTTTTGAGCTGTAAACTAGATTATATGACTGTTCTGTGATGAAACACATCGGTGATGGTGTTAATATTGACATTCTTTCCAAGTTTATGAAAATCAATATTTTGTGGGTTGAAAATGGCTCAACATGCCAAATCACCCTGAACCTTGCAAGCGAATGCAGCCATAGAGTCAAACGTTTGGTAGAGATTTATTTTAAAAAAGGGAGTTAACAGCCTCTAATGAGAGGAGAAAGCAGCCAGAATTGAAGGGTGCAGTTACACTTTAAATGTACCAAATGTACCATTTCGTCAGACTCTGTGTATGTGTACGTGTGTCTTACCAAGTCCTTGATGCTGCCCAGCACCGCTGTGGTAAGGATGCCCGTGAAGAACGCCATGAGGTTCAGGCCAGTGAGCGTCCAAATCAGAATGTACAGAGTGAAAACTTCCTCACAGCTTCGTACTCCAACAAACTCATAGTAGTTGCTGAGGTAGCCTCCACTGCGGATCAAAACAACAGCTACGTTTATTATTTGGATACAATTCTGAAATGATAATTAGGATTTGAAAAACATAATGGGAGATGACATTGTAGGATAATGATGCTGTCTCACTTGGCGCAGTCGTACAGGTCGCAGCAGTAGCAGGTCCCACTTCGTACTGTCATGTTACAAGACTCCTGTGGATTCCAACACGACACCTGAAAAAGGAGAGACAAGTATAAACTGTAGACATACAAAGACGTGTCCTTCTAAAAGAAAATGGGGTTATATCTGATATTCAAATGTAGCAGGACCTGCCCGAGTTTCCCCCCATTGCAACTCAGATTGTAATAACTTCTTCGTCTGTATTAGTCTCAGGACAATATTGTTTCACTTTCTAGGTTTTACTCACAGTGGTGTAGAAATTCTCATAGATGTAGCCGCTGCCGCTGCTGTAATACTGACATCTACCTGCTTCCAGTGGACGCACATCCTGGCAAAAGTTAATATATGAAGAAATGTCATCCACAGGGTTTCATTTCAGAATAAACGGATACATTCTTATTACGAATAAAAACCATAAATAAAATAATAAAATGAACTGACATTTATTACACAAGATGATCCAGATGGCCGTGTCTACAGAATGACTGAAGCACACATTTGAAGTGAGTGAACAGTGTTGAGTTTGGAGTCTGTTTGTGATCAATTTCCAAAAGTCCACTTTTGTCTTAAATTGGTAAAAAGAGGTTCACTTCAGTGGAAATGGTTTCTCTGGTAAAATTCACATAAATCATGTTTGGTTTGAAATACAAAATATGAGGTTTTGTCAGAGAGAGAACAATAAAGTCCTGGACTTTACTTCCATCGTTGTCTGTGGTACGATGTGTGTGGTTTGATTCAGAATAACACTGATGTCGACCTACAAAGTGGAGAAAAACCTTTCCCATCTATTGTACGGTGAAATAAAACACAACACAGGTATTGACACCCTGACGGAGTTTATCTTAATACATTTGCTCCAACGTTTCTTGAAGTCTTCAACTATATGGTAAGTACCATGAAGATTAAACATATAATAATCTATGGTACAAAGAAGAGATAGTAAAAGAGATGTAATCCTTATCTGAATAAGAGAGATGGTGAGATAAGTTAAGATGCTGTGCTTTAACCTCTTGAACATCATAATTCACTACAAAAACAACAATAACTTTAAGAATGTATTCTTAAAGGGAGGCTTGTACTCATACTGCAACATCCTCTCATGTTTCAAATAGGAGCACTGGTGCCATTTATAATTGCAATAAATCCATTTAAGTTTATTTTTTCCCCAGATCACTTTGCTACGCTACACTGCTTGTAATTCTATTTATTACAGGCGTCCTAATAACAGCCCTGACAACGCAATAAAATTCGGTAAAGGAATCCAGAACCATCCTGAACATTTTGTATTTTCAACAAAATATTTTCAAGGACTCAGCTCTGCATCATTCAAGCTCCAGCATCTGTTCTTAATAAAAACAAACATTATGGTGTTAATTGAAATTAAAAGCCATCCCAGCCTGGAAGAATTTTACAGTTTGGTCCAAAAAGATGGTATTTACACTATTGTGACCATTTCAATAATAACAGTTTGTTAGGCCATGTCACCTTGAACTGGTTATTGTAAATGGCTGCTTTACCCATTCTCACACAGCTCTGTTCTGCAGTAAATGTGCCTCCCATATAGGTTTTCAAGCCTGCTGAAATTCATATTGCCTGCTTTAATAAGATTTTCTTTAATACATGCACTCTCCTTTTCTCTCTGTATTATTTTACTGCATTTTCGCTCCTTTCCCCAACGTTTCCCCCTTTGTTTTCATTCTTTTCATGTGTGAGGGGAGGTTGGGGAAATGAAAAATACGAACTGCATACCTTTCCACCAAATCAAACGATGAGTGATTATGAGGCTAACGTCTCGATTGGCCTTGGATGGCTCAGATTAGCCAAAACAAAAAAATGTTTCTGACCAACAGACAGCTGCACAAGTGTTAATAATGGTTAGCAATTACAAAAGAATTATATATACGCACATTTAATTTAAATTTTATCTATAAGCTACTAGTATTCCTTTACTGTTAGGTCCGTTGTTTGTTTTTGAATTTTCTGCTCCCCACACTTACTGATCAGACACACACACACACACACACACACACACACACACACACACACAATCACACACAACACACACACACACACCCTGATGGAAGCAAGCTACCACGCCTGACCATCAGGAGCAATTTGGAGTTTAGTATCTTGCCCAAAGACACTTCGACATGTGGACAGGAGGATGTGGGAATTGAACTGCCAACCCTGTGATCAGTGGAAGAACCCACTAATCAGACGAAGCAAGAAGCAACGCCTAGCACTCATATAACTAACGTCAATAATCAGTAATCAAGTACACATCACAGGAGAAGCCCAAAAAATAATACATATCCTTCAATAGAAACAATTCTACAAATCTGAGAAAGTTGACAAAATTGCTCAAATAAAAAAAAATAAAAAGGAGTCTGAGTAGTATTCAGTCGGTTTGAGGAATAGTTCTATATTTTGGAAAATGTGTTTTCTTGCTGTGAGTTAGATGAGATGAAACGATGATGTATGTGCACTAAATATTAGGCTAGATGCAGCAGCTAGATAGCTTAGCTTAGCATAATGTTCATAATGTAACCCTCATTAACATCACCAATGTTCAGTAGATGGGTGCAAGTGATCTTCTGAGTGGTTTTAATCACCCGCTGCAGAGCCCTCTTGTCCTGAGCACATCCCACGCAACAGGGATGTTATTCTTTATGTGCTGGAGAACCAGTTTGTTAAAGCAGAGCACTTCATCAGAATAGGGGTGAGTGCCACAGGGCGGTAGTCATTTAGACTACATACCACAGGATTCTTAAGTACAGGGACGATGGTGGCTGTCTTTAAGCAGGTGGGAACACTCTCCTGCGACAGTGATGTGTTTAAAATGTCAGTAATGACATCAACTAGCTGAACAGCACATGTTTTTAGTACACAGGCAGGGATGTTATCAGACCCAGCAGCTTTAGTCATCTTCACTCTCAGCAGGAGTTTTCTCACAGCCAGCGGCCGATCCTCTGGAGGAGGAGTCGACTTTAGAGCTGACTCTTTGTTGAGGAGATGAAAGTGAGCATAAAATGTGCCTCGCTCATCTGGTAGCGTGGTCTCACACAAGATGGGGTTGCTGAGGCTTTTGTAGCCTGTGGTGTTCTGAATCATTGAGGTCTCTCTCCAGTCTCTGTCTCCACTTTGCCTCCTCGATGCCAGCTTTCACTCTTGCTGTGGCGGCGCTGTATGCTTCATTGTCGCCTGACCGAAAGGCAGCTTTTTTGGCTCTTGATAGAGCCCTCACCTCTCCATTCATTCAGGCTCCCAGATAAAAACATTTTGTCCCCTCTTTTGGTCCTCTCTACTGTCAGTATCTAAATAAAGCGAAATAAAAAAAACCTAGAGACCAGGACCAGGACCACAAATTGTGGTTTTAGGCGGAGGTTATGTGCTGAATTGTCTCCACTGGTTGCCTGGCAACCTCAAGGTAATTACAAGATGTTTTAAAAAGACAGTGAAGTCAGGTGAATGTTGGCAAAAAGAAGGAAAAACAATCAATACTCATAATAATCAGATTATTCAAATATTTGTGGGTACAAATATAAAAGCAATACGTTCTTGCTGTATGTAAAGGTTAAAGGGATTAGTGAGTGAGCACAAATCAGTGTGCAAGAGTCTGTAGTTTCCTTAAGAACTTAAGTCATAATTGTACTCAATTATGTTTACAATTTAAAATGCAGCAAATGCAAAACACAGTTAATTTAAAGTAGACAAAAACAAGACTATAGTGCAGGTTGTGAATGATTGAGATGTGAATATATTGTTATTATTTTCTGAATAAAGAGGGAGTCTTCCACAATTCATTTCTACATTAAATGTATCTGTTTTAGTTTTAGAGTTTAGTTTTGAAAGAGGAATGCAGCTTTGCTTTTCTAACCTGTTAAATGTTCTTTTAGGGAGGCAGCTCTATATTGAAGCAACATCAATCACATCCAGAGACCGTCTCATCAGATGTCTGGATATATAAAGCCAAACTAGACACTTCTACACTGATGGTGCATCTTAGTCCACATTATGCTTTCACAACTGGCAATTTACTTGGCAAGAACATAAAAAACAAAGCTGGCAAATGATATAAAGACTGAGCTATAATTTGTGGGAACTCTTTTCATGGACACAATTGTGTCAATATTGCCAACAGAGCGAGGTTGGCGCTCGCTGCGAGCCAAGAGGCTGTCCAGGTGGATCAAAGTCAACCAGCACAGTGGTTTATCATTGCTTCATGGTCTACTATTGCTGCTTTGTTTCGTCATACAGTACAATGTTATGTTAAATGTTACAGTATACACACGCAAGTGCAGGTAACTCACCATGTTAAAGACAATACAGACGCCATCAATCAGTAGGCAAACAAAAGACGAGATGATTCCAAAGCTGAGGAATATAATCGCAGCCGTCAGCTGGAGGAGGAGGAAGAAACAAAGTGTAAATGAGAGAATTTCCACATAAAATCTTTAAGATACCAGATATAAAAACTAGTGTTATTTGATTGGAATGACAATTTACTATTACGGCCAAGATCTTTTTCTTTTTTCTTTCCAACAGATGCATGCCAATCACATTTCTATAAGAGCCAAATAGCCAACAGCACATTTAACTTATTTGTCTGATAGGTGTTTCTTCACAAGGCAGCTGGCTCAAAAAACATTTAGTTTATTAACTCTTCAAATGAAGAGAATATTGTTTTCAGTGTGTTTCAATACTTTATTCCATTTGAATACTGAATGATGAAAATATGAACAAATATTATTCAATTTGTCCTGATATTTCCACCTGAATGGGCTTCCTACCTCTCCTGTACAGGTTTTTCTTTACATTTAATTTATGTACTGAATATGTATATTATAATTATTATAGTTATATTTATATATAAAATAGATACGAGTATGTCTTGTACGTGAATGTCACTGAGTACATATGATGTCTTTTTCTTTAGTTTTTAATGGGCAAGCAAATCAAACAAAACAGAATTAAAAAAAGATTCATCATTTTTTATATTAATTTGTATAAGTAATAATGTTCCCACTGACTGCAGGTTAACTGTCATAGACACTGAAGGAAGACAAAGAGGCTGCAGGTTAAACTTTGAAAGAATTTCACTGAAGACCCGATATCAGTCCCAGAACAGAAATATGATAGTCTCATTTGTTTAAACAGTGACTCTTCAACATCATAATATTATTCTTGCCTACTTGAGATCAGACAGAGGAAGATAATTGTGTTAGCACTTATAACCACTGACTGCGCACTGTATCTTCCCATCATTCCTGCTCTTCATTAATCACAATCTCAATTTACCTGGAAAAATGTCATCGGTGAAATAAATTCAATATGAAAAATGAAAAAGTTCTCATCACGAAACTTATCTCACCAGTGAAAAGGATAAAAACTTAATACCAAATCCAAGCAAGACAAACTCGATCCAAGAACTCCAAAAATGGAAGTATTGTCCACAAATGCCCTTATGTCCCTCATGAATAAGATCATTTGCTGTTTCTAACATTTTTGAGATAAACTGGGATTGTTGAGAGCATCCTCTGATAGCACATCAGGTTAGGATGAAGTTAAGCTGCTTGAGGTTTTTTTGTTTGTTTTAAATCTTCATTCCTACGTATCAATTGGATTTTAATCTCTCCCTGTGCACAAGTAAAAATTGTCCTGATGGTATTGATAGGGGGTCACAGAGATCATAACAGAGTCATGTGGAAAAGGTATGTAATACACATCACAACTGCTATATTAGAGCCACAGTTATTTGACCCAGACATGACATCTAATACATGGAAGTAAAGAGCTGATTAACATTTGGGCCAACAGGATTACAGCATTCACTCACATTTACTTCAACAAGGTTCTTTCTTAAACGAATCAAATTACCTAATTCCCTGTTCCCATACTGTTCAACAACAATGCGTTAGCTGATGTACTTTTGTACTTTTGTACAAGTTGTCGGCATGTGTTCTGTCAGTGGTGAGCAGCTAAGAATGACCAGCAGAGGTATGCGTCACAAATTATTCATAAAGGATGAAATAACATTGTGATAAATTGCCTCATCAAGGGTTTGTATTTAGAGAAAGGAATGTGTGTTGAAGGATTGGACGGCAGATTAGCATCTATTTTTTCTATTTATTTCTCCTGCAGTGGTTCACTGTAGCAGCCGTATGGGACGGATATCTTACAGTGAACACTGAGACAAACACACAAACACTCACTATGTTCTACAATGAATATTAGATGTTAGATTGACATATTGGCTCCTTTTTCATAATAGCTGTCATGCATTTGAGAAACTTCTTTAATCAAGAACAAACCATATAATCAAACCCAATTATTTATTGTTTGTTAAGAGTTATTGTCGGTACGCCTGTAAATCTGATCCGCTCTCACACAGTACACAAGTTTACAATAATACAGATTTATCACCTAAAACTCTTCTTGATTTCAAACATAGACAGACAAAAGCAGTCTCTCATTTCTAGCCAGGTACCATTGATATGTCAGCTAAACCGACAACCGTCAGTGGCAGATTACATCAGGTGTGGCTAACGTCCCTGAGCTGGTTGAAAACGCTTTGTGTGCCTAACTTACTAAAAACTGTAAAAGTTTGATGGCTAACAACATAATAAATAAAAGTCAGCTTCCACACCAGTTGATAATCCATAACAGACACAGAAATAACAAACAGCATTGTTTTTGTATTGAAATGTAGAAATAGTTATTCCTAGTGTTATATTATTAAATATGTAAGATCAGATTCTTATTTATTTATATATACACATTTCTCTACTTAGCTATAGAACATAGCTAACATTAGCTTTTAATACTATCCAGCTTGCACACAGTGAGGAAATACTAGGATGAGATAGTCGTGATCAGGGCTTTTTTTTGTAACCCACAAAAGCAATGCAGTAAAGGATCACCAGTAATCCGATTAGATTGAAAGCCCATTTGTCAGACAGTCTGTTAGCCCCAAAAACAAGAGCCCCACTTTTCCAGAAACATTTTTCAAACAAACACAGGACCTTCACTCAGGAGACTGGGGTTCATGTCACATGTTAAACCAAAAGTAAACATTGGGTTATTTTTTATTTTAAGGTACATTATGTGCATCACGTGACTCGCATAATGCAACACAGTTTTTTTAACATAAAACTTGATCTTTTTCTAAACCTAAACCTAACTGTAACCATTTCACAACAATAAACAAATGTCAAAGGGGCTCCCAGGCAGCCCAGTGCATACAGATGTTAAAGGGTGCCATGTGCATCTGTATGAGATATGGTGAAGGCATGACAAAGCACTGCTATTTGATGACCTGGGATGAGAGCAGCCATTTTATTTGAGTGTAACAATAAAAGACTAAATTGGGCCATAACAAATGTCTCAACAGAACAAAAAGAGTAGAGGTCGTGGCATTCAGACTATTTTCTGCATTGAACCACATTTTATTAATGTGAAAATTACCATAGACCAAAACACCACCTCTGCATCGAGCCAACCGTCAAGGCCACGCAGCCTTTTGATGGGAAGAATCGCACTTTTACATTAAAAGAGAAACAGAAAAATGCAGAAAAAGCAGATCTCATCCTTCCTGGATAGGATCCCAAAAGGATAGCTGTCAGAATGTACATGTGTCTAGAGGATTGTAACTCTTTATTTTGGCAGCAGTGGACTAAATTCCTTTTTCACAACAATAAATATGAATTATCTTCTATCATTTCAATGATGCTGAATAAGAAACCAGAAACAACTGTATTAATGACCAAAGCTTTCACACTTTTCACACATAAGATGAATATTCTCTGTCAGTTTGGTAAAAAGCTAAATGATCCTGGTGAGATAGCAAGCTCCAGTCGGAAGCTGCTGGAGTATGGGTAGTTTTGTCCAATTTTGATTAAATTTGCAGGTCTATTTAGGTTTTTTAAGTGGATCGACGTTTTTCTCTGACATTTTAACAGTGTTACGTTAGCTGCGCCCACGGCCCTTGAATCCTGAGTTGTGTGTGTTGCCAGGTTGGACTTACAGATGAATTTACTGCTTTGAGTTAACAAGTGAGTAGTGAATAGGTGAACATGCGTTGAAGAGCAGCACAACTGGTAACTGTGCGGACAAACTGTATCTCTCTTGGCCCATTTACACTCCCTTTTTAGCGAGTCGGGGCTGGGTGTGAACAGACAAACATGAGGAAGAATTATGACAGAGGATGTAGGTGTGTGATTGTGTCAGATGAGAAGATACAAGGAGAGTAAGAGAGTATACCAGCTGTTTGCGGTTTTCTTTCAGGCAGAGTCCCAAAAGTCCCAGGAACGATCCGAGGGTGAGCTGCAGAGAACATGATACAATAAACAAAAGAGAAATATGGTTCATTTTCACAGGAACTGTGACACTGTTATGATTTGGTCCTATTCCAAGTAAAGAAAAGCCAACATTAGTACTTAACAGTTATGAAAAGAGCTCTAGGGGTATAATTTTAAAAGCATACAGTGTGTTTTATGTTACTTGCTGTTGCAAAAGGTGGTTGAAAGATATAAAAATGAATCATGGCTCTGTAACTGCATGACTTGAAGTCTCACCACAGATATATCCAGAAACTTAGGAGAAATTGGACGCTACTGTACTTCCAGAGGACCCATTATGTTTGTCCAGGTTCAAACTTGGAAGAAAAGTTGTCAGCCGAGAGCCTGTCTAAACACTTTGGGAAGTGCTCGCGTGGACTGTCGATCATTAATGTCACAGCCTACCTAAAATTATGTCTGTCTCAAGCAGACGACAGAGGAAGACCACAATTACCCCTTTTGAGGGCCGGTTTGGAGCCACTTCTTTGCTTTACGCCAGGGTTGTATGAGGGGGCACATTGTATGTATTTGTATGTATTTATTAGCTGTTCAGCGAGCTACTAATTTCTCACAGTAATATAATGAACATAAGTTAGATGTTATGAATTAAACATCAATGTGAAGTTCGATGTTCGTTCCATTGACGTTTGCAAGTTGAACCAACCCTAAACTGACACTCCACACCAGCCCAGATTTAGCACTAGGCTTGTGTTGGTGGAAAGGGGGTAAATCAGTAAAACAAGACTAAAATATTTCAGCCTCATGATGGATATCAGACACTGGAGGATGTTTTCTTATGCTGTAAAAATTCCTCCTTATTTCCTTGTAGCTTATCACATCAATCTGCCATCTCACTGAATAAATCATGGTGGGGAATTATCGAGGGACATATAACAACTTACAATCACCCCAGAGGTGTAGCCAGACACATTCAGGCTCTCTGTCCGGGTTGTGGTGTAGACTCCCAGCAGCACCAGCAGCAGGGACAGACTGAGCATTCCCAGTACGAGCCACAGCGCTCTCCTGACCCTTACCACCATCTCTGCAAGCCACAGAGGACAGAGAAACCCTCAGTCATGTTAAGTTATATGACACAGTGCAGGACACATTTAACACAATAAACTAGACTGCTTGTCAGCTGTGAGCCTCTTGCAGCTATCTACCTGCATACAGTTCCTCTAGTTTCATTTCAAGGTCAACAAACCTAATTTAAACCTGATTTTATTTACTTCATTTAATTAAAAAAACAAGGATCCAAACCGTATATCTCCATCTTGTTCCTTTCAAATGCCAAGTTCAAATCTCAGTATTGAAGAAGTCTCTACTTAGTACTTGGGTAATTGTTGTGGACTGCTCACTGTATTCATTACATGCCTTTCAAGAAGGTTGCTGCTGGCAAACATATTTATACAATTTTAAATAGATTTGAAAACAACCAACCAATGTGTGTTAAAACCACAGTATTCCCCCCCCGTCTTCTTCATTTTCAAACATTTACTCAAATCTATCCACAGAGTTACCACCAGAGTTATTTGTTTGGACTGTAGAAAGAAAAAGCCCCACACACATATGCAAACATATGGAGGTATGTAAACTCCACCAACTCAAAGCTGTGGTCCTTAACCTAACGGTCGCTGATACACTGCACCTACAATGGCTGTTTTTATTAGGTATGTTGTTTTTAATAAAGCTAAACACTGAAAACCTCAAAACGTGAACACATTTGCTGTCTTTATTGTCTGTGTTGTTGTTTACAAAAGGTCATGATTACAGTTGTAAATAATCCAACCCTGAAATACCCTAAAACTGGTACTGGTCATCCTAAATTTAGCGAGAAAAAACATCCAAGTACACAGCTCCGTGTCAAACTGTGTTAAACTATCAAAGATAAAATGTGATAAAATACAATATCATCACTATTTATATTTATTATTAATATACATACAGTCCTCTCATTATTATAAAATATAAAATACTAATTTAAATAAAATAAGAGCAACCTTCTGCCAAACATGATCATTAGGCACCATCTCCATCATAGATAAACATTTTATTGTGAAATTATTTAGCACCCTGAGAGGCAGACATACAAAATACATAATCAATGATGACACTGAGATTTTGTAATGAACTAAAAGTGTGTACCTCAAACCAGAACATATATTGTACACACTGTAAAATGAATGGCTATTTTCCAGTCTCTAGTCTCTCTCATAGAGTTTTTATTAGTTTATTAGTTTAAAAATCCTCTAGGAAAGGGACCTTCAGGGGCATCCCACTGCTACATCTGAAACGACTTTTATTGTTACTGGCTGAGAAGTGTAAGTAAATCTGTCAACTGCAACTGCATGTGAAATGAGCTGTGTACCATCCTAAAAACACATTTATCTGGGCTACAGTATCAGCCTACTGAAAAGTGATTATTAGTCTCTGTGAGATCATTAGCCCACAAGAAGTCCAACAGGTTAAGAATAATATAATAATTTAGGTAAAACATGTATTTAATGCAGCTCTGTCACTGTCCCAGGTACATGACCACATCACCATCCCCACTCCCACTGAGTTACCTGTTGCTCTGCTCTTTGGCACTGGTTTGTCTTTGCCCGTGGCTCCCTGGATCCTTGCAGTCATGATAGATCCTGTCCTGTGAAATTTCCCTCTGACAGCTTCACAAGTCTGGGACCTGTTCAGGTTTCAGGTCAGGCTTACAAATCTTCTCTCAAAGCTTGGCCAGTCCGGAGTGTCACAGGCATCTACTATGTGAATGCAGGTCTACTTCAGTGCAGCTCTGTGTGCAGAGTGTGTGCTCCAACCTCTGCTGCATTCAAGGGCAGTCGGAAATGTGCGTATCTACTGCTGTCAAAACACTTGAGGATATACAATAGCAGGCGTTCTTTTCAAAAGGTCGACATTCAACCCTGTTTGTTGTAAATCAAATTGTCATGGGCTTCATGTGCTGCTGCAGCAGGATGAAGAGGTGGGATGTGCCGTATATGAACACATCTCTTCAAAACAGATGTTCGTCAGTTTATCTGTAGGTATGGCCCATGGAGGCGGGCTCTGTTCATTCTTATGAAAGCCGCTCAGTAGCGTATGAAGTCAAAAAAAAAGTGTGACTTCCTGGTAAATCATGTGGCCCATAGAGCAAGCACACTGAAGACTCTGGTTGGGCTAACTTAAATGGGGATACAATTATTTAATCAAGTCGGTTTTCCTGATTTCCGAGTGTTATTGGACTGAATGGATACAGTTCTGATACTGAAACAAACATTTTCACAGGGGTTATAACACTCAAAATACGTACCCACCAGTTTACAGCTGCTTCTTTCATAATGTAATCATATGGGGAAAAGTATTTTTAGGCCAGTGTGCATCATGGGATGGTGTTATTACACAGTTGAGCCATGGCTTAGCAAGGCCAAATTAACTATAAATAAGACCGGGCACATTCTTTACAAAACATCATGACCACCCCTTTTGGAGAGTAGAAAACATTCTAAATAAGTCAATGAACTTAATGAATTGAGGTTGATCTGTCAGCAGAGATTAAGTAGCAGCCACAGTGACGTTTACTGATGCTACAGTGTATGACTGTACTCCAGCCAGCTATCCAACAGCAGACACTGCCATCAGTATCATTTAGCTATTTACCACACTGACAGTGAAAATGTATCTTACGTATCTCAAATCTCAGCGTGAAAGCCTTGGTTATTATTACAGTTGTTTCTAGTTTCTTATTCAGCCTCACTGAAACGACAGAAGCGAGTTCATATTAATTGTCATCAAAAAGGAATTTAGTCCACTGCTGCCAACATAAAGAGTTACCATTCTCTGGAGGCTGATACGCTGTAACAGCTCTCCCTTTGGGATCCCTTTCCTTCCAGGAATGATGGGTTCTGGATTGGTATCTTTATTTGTTTTACAACCTGCTACACAACAGCTTTTGGGGCATTTTTCTGTTGATCTCGTTAAGTGAAAGCACGATTCTTTCCCCCAAAACGTGGCGTGGTCTTGGAAAAGGGCATCTATGGAGGACAGGGAAGTAAAATTGGCTTCTGGGCCCCTCTTAACCCCTTATTTCTCCCACTCTCAAGGAAATGTGTAGAGTTTTTTCTATTCTACCACTGTCCTCGCTCCCAAAGTGTTGTGTGGTTATTAAATACATTAATTAAAGATTATATACATTTAAGCACAGAATTGAGTTTAGAGATTTGTTATGTTGTGTATTCTGGTGCATACTCCCAAACAGGTTTTGATTAAACTGGCACAGACCAGGTGCTGAGTGAGCATTTCGGGCCCCTGTAGAGATAGAGCCTCAGAAGTGCAGTTGCCTGCTCTGCCTCGTCAGTATGAATAAAGGAAATGCAACAAGCGTGTAAAATGAAACTGTGTGATGACTATTGAGCCTGTTACTTGGAGAAAGTCTGAGAGATGAGGGGGGAAAACTTGACTCAAATACTCTACCATTTGTTGTACAATTTATCCAAAATTTTGTTATAGATAAGATAGGTAATGTTGTTTATGCGCTACATGAAAACATGTTATATTTTTTGTTTGATGTAGTGTCATGACATGGATCATGTAGGTTGTGATAAAACAACAGTTGAAATCCTGCTGCAAACTTTAAAGTTCATCTGATACATACTTTAAAGATAATACAACTGAATGTAAAATGTCCTCTATGTACAGAGCAAGAAGAAAGCTTATAAATGACTAATCTGTATTATTAAAAAAATTATCCATCAATGATTATGTAGCCTAATAACTCTAATTCATACATCGCATTCCAAATTATTATGCACATTGGATTTAAGTGTCATAAACATTTAATTTTTAGTTTTTCAATTAAACTCATGGATGGTATTGTGTCTCAGGGCTTTTTGGATCATTGAAGTCAATCTCAGTCACCTGTGATAATTAGTTTGCCAGGTGAGCCCAATCAAAGGAAAACTACTTAAGAAGGATATTCCACATTAGTAAGCAGGCCACAGGTTTCAAGCAATATGGGAAAGAAAAAGGAGCTCTCTGCTGCCGAAAAGTGTGAAATAGTGCAATACCTTGGACAAGGTATGAAAACATTGGATATTTCAAGAAAACTTAAGCATGATCATCGTACTGTGAAGAGATTTGTGGCTGATTCAGAGCACAGACGGGTTTGTGCAGATAAAGGCATAATGAGGAAGGTTTCTGCCAGACAAATTCGTAGGATTAGGAGAGCAGCTGCTAAAATGCCATTGAAAAGCAGCAAACAGGTATTTGAAGCCGCTGGTGCCTCTGGAGTCCCGCGAACCACAAGGTGTAGGATCCTCCAGAGGTTTGCAAGTGTGCATAAACCTATTATTCGGCCACCCCTAAACAATGCTCACAAGCAGAAACGGTTACAGCGGTCTCAGAAATACATGAAGACTAATTTTCAAACCGTGTTGTTTACTGATGAGTGCCGTGCAACCCTGGATGCCACCATGTCCCAACAAGGCCGCAAAGTCAGCAAGGAGGTGGCAGGATCATGTTTTGGGCTGGAATCATGGGGAGTGAGCTGGTAGGTCCCTTAAGGGTCCCTGACGGTGTGAAAATTACCTCTGCAAAGTATGTAGAGTTTCTGACTAACCACTTTCTTCCGTGGTACAAAAAGAAGAACCGTGCCTTCTGTAGCAAAATTATCTTCATGCATGACAATACACAATCTCATGCTGCAAAGAATACCTCTGTGTCATTGGCTGCTATGGGCATAAAAGGAGAGAACTCATGGTGTGGCCCCCATCTTCCCCTGACCTCAACCCTATTGAGAACCTTTGGAGCATCCTCAAGCAAAATATCTATGAGGATGGGAGGCAGTTCACATCAAAACAGCAGCTCTGGGAGGCTGTTCTGACATCCTGCAAAGATATTCAAGCAGAAACTCTCCAACAACTCACAAGTTCAATGGATGCAAGAATTGTGAAGGTGATATCAAAGAAGGGGTCCTATGTTAACATGTAACTTGTTAAGATTTTTTTTGATTGAAATAGCTTTTGATTTCTGTAAATATGATCTCCTGATGCTGCAAATTCAACAAGTTACCATTTTAGTTCTCTTTACAACCTTTAAAATGTTTTGATGTGCATAATAATTTGGAACAGTGCATTTTGAGTTTTTTAATTAAAAAAAAAAATCTGTTATCATTAGGAGATTTGTTCAATAAAATTTGAATTGTTCTCTAACGGTTGATGACTTGAAAATTATACTGACTGTCATTTGCATCGACTATTTAGGAATATCATTTGCATAATAATTTGGAATGCGGTGTATGTATTAGTGACATTTTACTTAACAGTTTATCCTTTCCTCTGACCACCCAGTCGGCATGGATATACCTCAAATCCCAGCTGGACATAGTTACAAGAAATTAAGAGCCAGGGAAATATATTGTTTAATAAATAGTTTTTATGGAGCAGACAGATAAGTTGACACATTGAGATAAGAGGAGTTAGTTCTACTTATCCCAGTTCCAGACATCTGGATTACAGTCTATCACACTGAGATTTAGTGCTTTAGTGAAGTGGCAACAATGTGACCCTTAATTGTGAAGAAGGATTACACGTTTTAAAAGTGTCATTCAAGAGGAGTAGGTGAGTAAAATCTTTTGAAATCATCACGTTGCTTTTTTCCATGGTGTTTGGACTGATGTATGTTAAATAAACTCATTAAATGGTGGGAAATTTGCCATGTGCAACCAGTCTGCAGGGACTTGGCTTGGGAACCGGAGGGTTGCTGGTTCAAGTCCAGCACAAACCACAGTACAGAGTGTGGACTGGTAGCTGGAGAGGTGCCAGTTCCACCTCCTGCGCAATGCCGAGGTACTCTCGAGCAAGGCACCTAACCCCTAACTGATCCCGGAGTGCTGCTACATGGCAGCCCCGCACTCCAACATCTCTCCACATTTACATGTCTATAAGCCCTGTGTGTGCATTTCCCTATTCTTCTTTAAAGTATACATTCAGAACACAAAAAAATCATCCTGAAGTAGCAGTACCCTGATATACCTTTAACACATCTTTCATGCCCTGGTGCACGCCGCTGATCCTGGGTCTGACATGTAGAGACACTGTGGGAGAGCTACACACTGATTGAAAAAAAAAATATTATGACCAGTTGTGTATGACCTTTGCAGATGCACATGAAAGATATAACACGTCTGTATCTCCTACTCATAAACACAGAGGGGATTTATTTGATCTGTATGCCATCCTATCAGAAGAAATGTAAAGGTTAACTACTGTGAGGAGGTTCTATAGGACGTGACTTTATTGGAAAGTCGGTTCAAACACGAGACAATCTGATTTCTGGTGGTAAATTCAGTGAGGAATGAGCATCCACACAGCCATAATGTACTGAAAAATGTTTGTATGCAAGTACAAGTACAGGCAGGGAGTAGCTGAACACGTTCCAATAAAAATCAGGCATAGATTAATTATTAAAGTGTTAAAATATCAACAATTGTTGTTATTGTTTAGATTGTATCTTTCTGTTCAGAGTGAATGAGGGTTTTATATCTTTCCACTTGGTTATACACAGTGACATTTAACTATGTATGGTATTTACCCATTATTATGATTTGATTGACTTTTCAAGGGGTTATTAAAGAAGAATCTAATGCAAGGAGGCTTATTTCTGATGGAAAAAAACGTGATTCGTGTTCACAGTAGTTTCTCCTTCGTGCCTGGTTGAGTCAAGAGGTTGCTAGGGATGCACTGATTGTAAAATTCTGGGCCAATATCGATGTCTAAAGGATCAAAGAACAATTTGGCCGATATCGACCAAAACTGGTGCATCCTTAGAGGTTTCAGTTGGTTGCAACTTCACCGCTAGATACCAATAAAGTTGAAGTAAATACTTTATCATTGTTTGTACACTCATATCTTTGTTTTAATGCCAGTTTGTATGTCATTTCCTGGTTAAGAAGGTCACAGGTATTCTAATTATTATTATATCAGGATCATTTAATGTTTAGAAAAGAGAGGTTGGCCTCTTTGGTTCGACACTTGACTGGATCATTTCTTACGTTCCTGCATTCAGTTGCTTTCCTCTGCATCAGTGTTTTGGTATCAGGCAATATGTTACTGTACAACTGGTACAATCTGGCTTTAAACTGGCTATTGTGTTGACAGTTTGGCTAATAACAGAAGAACCTAAATCCAGGTCAAATACTACATAATGGCAAGTAAAACCTTAAATCAAAAATATTTCTGTTAACATAAAAATGCAATATTTTGAAGATACTCTCAGAATATTGCACATTTGTTTACACCAATATTTTTCTCTCAGGACTCACCAAAGAAAGTAGATAAAAATGAATTCATCAATGTGAATAAACCTTCCTGTGTAAAGGGGAAGCACCTTGTACATAGTGAACTTGAAGATTGGCCAACTACTAGTAGTGGTGTGCGGATCGATCCAAAATATCGATATATCGATCCAAGTTGGTATTGATATTGATCGATACCAGTGTAATGGGATCGATACTTTAGTTTCTGTCCTGTCCGCACCGCTGCGGAGGCGACCTGTCTGTCTGTCTCTGCATAAGTGCCGCTGTTTTTGAGTGACGCTTCTGTCACAGCGCGGAGCAGCGGGAAAGAAGCGCTATAAGTATCGGATCGGTATCAGTGATACTGACTGGTATCGGATTGGTATCAGTGATACTGACTGGTATCGGATTGGTATCAGTGATACTGACTGGTATCGGATTGGTATCGGACCGATACCAAATCTTGCGGTATCGCCCACCACTAACTACTAGTGTATTTAAATGTAAATATTATTTTAAACAGCTATAATAGTAAATGGAGGAGTTCTTCATGTGTGTAATCTATGTTTAGGCTATTATTTAACTGCAACCCACATGGTATAATAATAAAGCTGAAGTAGAAAAGGAACATGTGTTTGTCATCCATTTTATGGATGACATCTGCTATTTTTTATTCAGTGTATTTATTTATTTTGTCTTCTATTTTGATGTATGTTACTTTCAGTGGTTTAGTGCAGTTGTTTACACAGGTATACAGAGTATAGCCACTTATAAATCCCCTCTGATGCACATCACTCAGTAGTGGTGTGTGAGCTGAAGGGTGATGAAGGAATAGATTAAGTGGATGATTAATGAATAAAGAATAATTCATTATGTAGTTATCTCACCTCTCTGTGGGCCAGCATTGATCTGGCAAAATCTGCTCCTCTTCTGTGGCTATTGTTAAATTTCATAATGATCCTTAATCCCTGAAGTCAAGCAGCTTCAGTGACACTGTGCTAATACTACTGGGCAAAGTCACTGTTTATAACACAGGGCGTTTATCCTTTGGAGGACTTTAAAATACAGTTTGGTGCATAAATTAAGAGTACACCCACTTCCCCACTACACCACTGGTTAAGTATATATGTTTATATATATAGTAATATATATATATTATATATATATCTGTGTGTGTGTTACAGACTTCAAATCCTAGAAAACAGCGCCCTCTCTTGTCGCTATGGCGACAGGACGCTAGCTTAAAACCCAGCTCGCATTAGCGCCGCTCGGCGTCAGACGCTGCGTCCATTTTGTTTAGCTCAGCTAGCCGGGCTAACGTTACCTTGTCGACTGGGCAGCAGAGATGGATGACGGTGACGAGCCGGGTTTAGTCCTCTCTCACAACACTTCTTCGGGCTCTAAGTCGGGCGGGGACAAGATGTTTTCCCTGAAGAAGTGGAACGCGGTGGCCATGTGGAGCTGGGACGTGGAGTGCGATACTTGTGCCATCTGTCGGGTACAAGTGATGGGTGAGGGACCGACGGGCTTACCGCTGGTAGCCTGCTCCGCTCCCACACGGGCTAATGGAGCTAACGGGGCTAATATTGAGACCAGGAGCTCGTCTGTTGTCATGAGTGCGGCTGTAACTTATGTCTCTTGATTTTCAGACGCTTGTCTTCGATGCCAGGCGGAGAACAAACAGGAGGACTGTGTTGGTAAGATAATGTCAGCGTTTAAAACACGTTGCTCAGTCTCTTAATCTTAATACAGCAGAGCTAATACTAGCTGTAGCCTCTGTGTGTGTGTGTGTGTGTGTGTGTGTGTGTGTGTGTGTGTGTGTGTGTGTGTGTGTGTGTGTGTGTGTGTCGGAGCTGTCAAATACACCGACCCAGCCAGCTAATAACAACAGAGGAAGAGAGGGTTTCTACTTCTGCTCGCTGAATGTAAATCAAATGGATGTGTCGTTGTATTGTTTTGATTATTAAAGCGAATATATTTATTAATCTGAGAGACACCTGCAGAGTAATTTATAATACAACTAATATAAGTGGAGTAGTGTAAAATCAAATAATGACCCTGTGGAGTGTGAGAGGTGTTGTGATTTACTGGATAAGTGCACTGTACAACACACACTTTCTCAGGACTAATGTAGGGAAATTATTCATGAAAAGCACTGTTAATTACTTTTTTGTTTGACTGTGCAGAAGCATGACAGAGGTGGGAATGATTTGGCTTTGGAAAAGAATCAAATATCATCATCTTAAAATATGAATAAAATATATCTTTTACAGATAAAGTAAGTCAGTTTTATTCGCTGTTATTTTTATATATATATATATAATAAGGTTGTACATTTATAATCCAGTCCCTCCAGGAAGCTGCGACGCAATTGTGTCCAATTGCTGCAATTTTAAAAAAAGCAGTTAAAAATTAACCAAAGATTGTAGTTTTGTTATCACCAAACTTACTTTTTGTTTCAAGTTGTGTCAAACTGTTGGATTTTATTCTCACTGGAACAAGTTGCCTTCAATTTTTATGTTATTTTGCTGAAAATAATAAGAATAATTGGGACTAGTTTTACTGTTTTCACCTCCTGCTATTTCATTGTGAAATAAAAAGCCTAAAAACATTGCACAATCTTTTATAAAAGCTGCTGTGAAATCATTTCCCCTGAAGGGACTGATATTCTGTGTAACCTAAGCTGATAGTATTGCAGTGTGTTCCCTGTTGATACTCCTCCACTCTTACTTCCCTCTTTCAGTTGTTTGGGGAGAATGCAACCACTCCTTCCACAACTGCTGCATGTCCCTCTGGGTGAAGCAGAACAATCGCTGTCCCCTCTGCCAGCAGGACTGGGTGGTCCAGAGAATTGGCAAATAAGCCCCAACTCCAGGCGGTCTGATTCTCAAACGACACCTGTATGCGCCCAAAAGTGGTGACAGACTTACTGATCACCGCAGCGTCCTGTGCAGAGCCACTTGACATCGACAACTGTCCTCCTACTTATGATTGCATGTTCCAGTAAGTCCTGGTGTCAAAGGAGGACAATGGACAAAATTAAAGCAGCGCAGACTCGTTGGTCACTGATTGGTTGATGTGGCTGGTGGGATCAAGAATCATGAAGAGAAAGTATGAACCCCGTTGCAGTGTTTGGTCACATGTAAGCTTCACATTATTGTCTGTGGTGGTGTTCAGCACATCTTGAATATGTGACTGTCTTTTTGAAAATAAAGAAGTGTGTATAGCTGTAAAATACATGTATTTTTTTCCACCTAGTTATTTGAATAGGTTTGTTATAAAAGTGAAGTTAAGGAAAGTGCACATTGGTTTGACGAGATGGGGTTTGCTATCAAATCTAAATGCTTTTTTGCTACTGACAGAAACACTACAGAAATCTGTATTCTTTAAAAGAAGTTAAAAATCCTAATTTTCACTCTTTTAGACAGATTTCTTGAACAGCTGCTTGTATTCTTTAAATTATCAAATTGTTGTTATCGGAGCAAAAACTCAAGTAGTTTTGGCAGAAAAGAGCTTTTAAGGTTTGAGTTCATGTTTATCCCCTTTTAAACACATTTAAAATATTAAATAATCATTACGAAAGGGCATCATCTTTCACTTGAAGCCTTTACCCCATAACCACTGTCCGTTTCCATCAAATGAGTAACTCACAATGAACAGTAACCAGAAGTATGATCTAGTTAAAACTTCTTTGTCTGTGGATCACCAAACAATTCCTAAACATTAACATGTCCAGTTGAAGGAGTCCGAAGTCCCTAAGTCACCTTACAACCTTGAGTACTTTGGCAGTCGAAGTGTACTACCTGGAATGCGGCCTTGCTAACCATTAGCACTTGTTATACATGTATGCGACATCTGGCTTTATTCCAGTTTCAAGCTTAACCTGCTCAATGAGGCAATGGTGGATTTTACCGAAGTATATTTACTCATGTACATGTCTTCTATTTTGATGTATGTTACTTTCAGTGGTTTAGTGCAGTTGTTTACACAGGTATACAGAGTATAGTCACTTATAAATCCCCTCTGATGCACATCACTCAGTAGTGGTGTGTGAGCTGAAGGATGATGAAGGAATAGATTGAGTGGATGATTAATGAATAAAGAATAATTCATTATGTAGACATCTGGCTTTATTCCAGTTTCAAGTTTAACCTGCTCAATGAGGCAATGGTGGATTTTACCTAAGTATATTTACTCATGTAGAGAACTTCAGTACATATTTAATGTACTTGTAAGAAATGTAACAGTCAGTGGAGCCACTGTACTTTTAATATAAGTTTTTACTATAGTGCCTGAAGTACAATGTGCTGCTAATATGTATTTTTTTACGAAAGGCCCTATCTCAAGCCTAACAACAACAACGATTCCTATATTCAGGTGATTATACACCTATAAAAACACAACTATAAATATTATAATTCATTTCTGCCAATAGATCCTAAATGTTACACACTGGACCTTTAAGAGAGACTTTCTTTGTATTTATTCATTGTGGTATTGTTACTTTTACTTAAAAGATCTTATTAGTTAATGTGGTAAATGTGCAACGTTTGGAATAACAGTAATACGTTTGAGTGGCTTAATATTTATTATATACACACATTTATCTGTGTTCCCTCTGAACAGAACAGCTGAAGACTGATCGGAGTAATTCAATTAGACATGAAGCTAATGACCGATAGGTCGGTGTTTCATGTTGTGGGGGAAGTTAACAAGTCTTCCAGCAAATTCCACATCAGTGGGACCTGTGTTTCATTGGTATTACACTACTGAGACTACAACTAACAGTTATTTTCATTATCAAATAATCTACCTGTTATTTTATTATCATTTGGTCTGTCTGAAAATGTATTTTAACTAATTAACTGATCATCAAACTTCCATTAACCCACTGACTGTTTTAGCTATAATTGGTATTAATGATAATAAAATAGAAATACCTGTTGACACTGAACTCTTCTCACTTAATAAATACTCCATTACTACATTTGTGAAGCTTATAATGTTCAGTTTTATGAGACGGTGTCAGAGAGATGTTGATATATCTCAATGTAACTTTAATGCTGCGATGCTACGATAACCATGTATTTTAACAACAAAGAATTAAAACATTTCTTTGAAACAACCTCAAGAAGTTTTCAGCTGTAACATCTATAGCAGGGTTATTGTAATGAACTGCAATTCTTATGCAGGTGTTCATGAACTGTCTTCAGTTTAAAACCAGCATAAGAATATAGATGAAGATGTAGTTTTCAAATATATAAATGAGTATTCAGTGTGCAACCTTCACTCCCCCTACACCTCAAGAAAATGTATTTCTTAGGCTGCTTACTTAACCAATTAGGGCTCATTTAGTAAAGTATATAAATGTAGCTATACAAAGCTATAATAAGCAATTACGTGTGCACACGTTGTTGCATACTGCACACATTATACACATACAGCTCTCTCAGTGTGTTTCTTTATCTCATAACAAGCTACAATCAACCATAACATGTTGAGGTCAAGATCTGCCACCTAATCATGTCGTGCTGGCAGGCCAATTACTGCACACAAGCACTTGGCATCATCTAAAAATAGACGAGCCCAAAGCCTCTTAAGTTCAAACCACATAAGTTGCTTTCTCTTAGTGCCGTCTACAAATAAGCGTGCAAAGACACTTAGCTACCAATAAATCCCTAAGCGGTACTCTCAGTGCTCCCAGAGATGTGCCACAAGAGGTTGAGGATGTTCAAGATGTTTGAGTACTTGAGGAGCTCAGTTGTGCCTGGAACCTGCAGATGAGTGAACTATAGTGTTGTAGTGGATCAAGCCCTGGTATGTCACAGGATACATCCAGTGACCTGGTGGGCCTGGACAACCTGGTGGCCAACACAGCCTACCTCAGAGCTCAGCAGGTAGACTACGATGAGCTGAGGAAGCGGAGAGTCTCGCTGACGCTGCCAAAACCAAAGAACTCCTCTGGTCTCTTGCTGGACAGGAAGTACGAGTCAGTGTGCGAGCAGCAGCCTATTGGGAGGAAGTTGTTCCAGGAGTTTCTCCTGGCCTCTAACCCGCAATATGTGGCCGCTGCTGAGTTCCCAGAGGAGCTGAGTCACTGGAGATTTGCTGAAGATGAAGCCAGAGAGAAGGCCAAACGGAGCATCCTCGCTAAGTTCTGTCAACCTGAGTCCAAGAGTTTTCTCTCCTACCTCACAGGAGAGGCGGCTGAAATATGTAAGAACTTATCAAACAAGAACTTTGATGAGGAGGCGTTGGAGCAGATAAAAGAAGCAACAAGGGACTTCCTGAGGGGGAAACCTTTCTTAGAGTTCATGAAAAGCCCCTTTTTTTATAGGTTCTTGCAGTGGAAGGAGTACGAGAAGCAGAAGATCACTAACAAATACTTTTATGAGTTCAGGACTTTGGGAAAAGGTGGCTTTGGTGAGGTAGGTGTCAGAAATACCCAGCATCTGAATAAACGTGTGAATCTCAAGATTGCTTGATGGACTCGCAACTAATATGTCTCAGTTAAAGTGAGACATATTGAAAGAAGAAATAACATTATTTCTCTTACAAATGAAAATCTGAATTCATGAGCAATTAAACACACCCTTGCTCAGTTTAATATACTAACATACTACAGTTCACCTGGTATGACCTTAGCTTACAGAGGCTAACGTTAGCTTACAATGATGATTTTCTCAACTTGCGTTAACTGTTATGTTATGTTATAACATTTATTACATAGTGGCCCCTGTTAAGTAAAATGTACATTTTCTTGCTTTACAAAAGGAGCAGAAACATATTTCAGGATGTCTCACCAACAGAGGACAACCAAGAAATAAAACTTGTCTCTGTTGCAGGTGTGTGCTGTGCAGGTGAAATACACGGGCCAGATGTACGCCTGCAAGAAGTTGGATAAGAGTCGCTTGAAAAAGAAAGGTGGGGAGAGGTTTGCCCTTCTGGAGAAGCAGATCCTGGAGAAGGTCAATAGCCTCTTCATTGTAAACCTGGCTTATTCTTATAACGACAAGACCCACCTGTGCCTGGTCATGGACCTTATGAACGGAGGAGACCTCAAGTTCCATATCTATGAGTTGGGGGAGCGGGGTATCCGCATGGAGCGTCTTATTTACTACACGGCCCAGATAACCACTGGCATACTCCACCTGCACTCTATGGACGTCGTGTACCGGGATATGAAGCCTGAGAACGTTCTGCTGGATGCTAAAGGACAGTGTCGACTGTCAGACCTTGGATTAGCCGTGGAGCTACCAAAGGGCAGGACAATCTGCCAGAAGGTCAGTGTGGTGACCTGTCCTTGGATCGGTTGCGGTTTGTAAACACAACATTTACAATAAAGTTGACCCCTTCCTCCCCTGGATGCTCCTCCCTAGCTCACTTACACCAGAATCACATGCCAACGCATACGATCTGGATATCTGGATATGTGTGCTGTTATTGGCTGGGGGCCACACACCCAGCGCCCAAAGGTTGACACCCATACAAAATAAGAAAATACAGGCAGAGGGAAGGGTCTCTTCAGATACAGACACTACCACACACTAGTAATGGGTCGTAAGTGATGATTGAGAGGGATTATTTTTGTAGTCTATATGTTGTTTGCTTGCTGTTGAATGTTTTTACTGTTTTACCCTCCTACACAGTGTATTTGTTCACCCACCACCACCAAGTAGCTTACCAGGAATAGATATGATGGCTCTTAGTTCTGCGCTGACAGACAACACAAGAGAGCACAACCCCGTGTGACCCAAATTAATCTCATTAAAAGGTGCCTGACCTCCCCAGTTGGATGCTGCACCGACTGAGAGACGTATGGAAGACTGACAGAGTGTGTTTGCATTAGTTGGTTAATCTTTGCTTTACTAATACCAAATATGGCCTCCTCGGGTCTGTACAAGGAGATGAGGCCTCCGCTCACTGGACGGGATACAGAGTGAACAATAATGTAATTTGTCAGCTGACCGGGCTGATGGAGGGTAGTTAATGCGGCATTATTTATTTATTTATCCATAACAGTATCTTATTGTTAGACCTCCATTTTCACATTCTTGTGTCTGTATTTTTGTCTCCATGTTTTATTATTTAATCTTGTAATCCATCATGTGGATGCAAAACAGTCTGCTGTAAATAACTGATATGAACTTTAAAAAGGTGAATTATCTACCAGACTAGATAATCCTGTCTGGACTCATCAATGTACGTCCTACTTTGAGAAGATAGTACATCATATTGATTTTGCATTTACATAAGTTTAAATATAATTTAACATCTTTTTCATTAGCATTTTTAAGTGACTAGCACACATATATGTCTTTTTATTTTTTTATTTATGTTTTTGGTGAGGGACAATGTATAACATTAATGTTAAATGTTATCATTTGATGAATTGTACCAGAGTTATCTTAAAAGTTAATTTTAGACACAACATACAGAAGGGCACTAAACGAACTAAACCAACAGGACATAAAGACGAAATCAAAGCTACACACACGTCGTCTAATCTGCTACAGGTTATAGCAGTGGTTCCCGAGGCCGGGTGGTTTTGGCTTATGGTCACTCAAAATAAATCAATGTCTGCATGAGACCCCCTAATCACCCAAAACCTAATTGCATATGTGTACTGGTCGTGACCTCTTCAGCTGAAGATTTATTGTTTGAGGTCTGAAGACATGAAATAACCTATTAATTCAGGAGAAAAGATGGATAAAAGTCTGACAAAAGACTAGAAACATGTCCAATTTATTTTTTGAGACCCCTTTTGGAAACGTTGGTTTATAGAATGGCAAAGCTAAGGGACTGTAAAAGAAGTATTAAAGAAGAAGAGTAGTATAGAAGAAAAAGGGGTTTGTTTCACTTAAAAGATCAAGACCCTCCACAGCATTATTTTTTAGTACCATTCCCTTATGTCTCAAAATAAAACAACAGTATATCTACAATTCAATTCACCATTAATAACTCAAAGAAGCAAAACATAAAACATTTAAGATGGTTTATCCTTTATTTAACTTTTATAGGGGTTTAATAAGTTTCATTATTTTTGTATTTTTCTTTTCTGTAGGATTAGGCCAACGTAAACAGTGGATGACATAATGAGAGCCATGAATGACAGTGGAGGGTTTAACACATTCTTAGAAATGTTTCCCAATTAAAGTCAATGTTAAAGTTTCACAATAAAAAGAGGTATTTTAATTTGAAACAGATACAGTGTTGATTAACAGTGTAATACAGTATTTTTAACAGGTCAAACAGGAGCAGCGTGGCTTCGTACATCTGCTATGTTTCTGAATGTACTGTCAATTTCTTTCACAAACTAGTTAGCAGCTTACCATGAAGACGCCTCTTGACTCTGCAACTCGTCTGCTTCTTGTCTCTTTTAGTTCAGTTGATGTGCACAAAATCAATCCAGTTTAAGCTCATACACCAAACCGGACAGGCAAAATCCGGAAACCAACCCAACCCTACTCCCCTGCTCCCTTCAGCAAAAACAAAGAATACAAAACCCTCTCCCTTTTCTAACTGCCCTCCACTCTCTAATAATTTCTGTACAGTCCTTAAGCAGGTAACAACACAATAAATATACCAGGGGGTTCACCTTTGTCCCCAGAATTTAACCTGAATATCTAAACAGATTGTGAAAACAGTAAATATTGTTGAAATTTTTCAAGTATGGAGAAGACTTAAATCTCTGTGAAATCTCCCTCATCCCACTTTCTATCTCCCCACCTTCAGGCTGGTACGACTGGTTACATGGCTCCTGAGATTCTGAAGCAGGAGAACTACCGCATATCCGTGGACTGGTGGGCTCTGGGCTGCAGCATCTATGAGATGGTGGCTGCCCGTTTGCCTTTCAAAGACTTCAGAGAAAAGGTGCATAATGAGGAGGTGACACGTCGCACTCTGGAGGACGAGTGCAAGTTTGAACACAAAAACTTTGACGATCCCACCAAAGACCTCATAAGCCGCTTTCTCAGGAAGAAGCAGCTGCATCGCCTTGGGAGCCGGTAAGTAAGCATATAAAGCATATAAAGGGATAGTTGGGGTTTTTTGAAGTGGGGTTGTATGAGCTATACGAATTCATAGTCAGTGTATGGCCTGCAGTAGGTCGGAGGTCAGTTTGGACAGGACAGGGAAGCAGAAAAACCTGTTTTAGCCATGTGTTTTGTGTTTTAAAAGACCAGTGTGTAGGATTTAGTGGCATCTAGCAGTGAAGTTTCGGATTGCAACTAACTGAAAACTGCTCGCGTCCGTATTTGACGGCCTTGGAATGAGAACAGGCTCCGTGGAAGGAGACCTACGGTGTCTGTAGATAAAAACGCAATGATTCTTATATTCAGGTGATTATCCCCTATTGAAAACATACTATGAATATTATATTCCATTTCTGCCAATAGATCCTATTAATGTTACACTCTGGACCTTTATTGTTTAAACAGAAATAGCCTAGTATGAGATGTCATTGCCTCACATTGTGATTGTGTGTAAAACCACATGTATCAAGTGACAAGTCCATTTTTTTAAGATCTTGTCAACGTGCCCTTTTAGATCCACAGGTTGTGAGTTTGAACCCTACTAGCAGTAGCACTCAGAACAGATAAGATACAAAATAATGCTAAGGTACACAGTTGCTCCCAAGCTGCTAAATGATAATGACCCCACTCCCTCCCTGTCTCACATTTCACTGTGATTGTACCTGTATGATTAACTTCTGTTATCACCTCAAACCTTCAGCTTCAAGTTCTAAACTGCCTTTATCTCACAAAAACATAAAAACAACATAACAGTTTTGAATCAAAAATGTTCCTCTTTCTACACATGTGATGTTGTTGCTTGACTTGTGAGAAGGTGTGTAGAAAGCGATGTCTTCTCAACGGTGCAGTCAGTCAGTACCAGCTCTGGGGACTCGAAGGTCCAGGAATTGAATCCCAAGGTGCCCAGTGCGTTGATTTATTTGCATGTGTTTGCAAGTGCTTCTTGTCACAGCCTGCTTAGACCCTGATTATTGCAGCTAAATGTATAAATTGTAACTGATTAGTCTACTCAGGTCGACCTAATGCTGGGATTTATATGATGAAGTCATCAGTGTATTAACAAGGACAATAATGATCTGAACAAACAGCCTCTTTCGAGAGTAGTAATCAGGTAAAATTTGTGAACTTTAGTAGTAAGAACACTTTTCATTTAACCTGTTGATCTTATTTGCTATTTCATCCCTTGTTTCAGTGGATGTTTTGATCCTTTTTGATTGCAGCTCTGTTTAGAAAAGTGCTGAATATTAAAAACTATTATTATTATTATTATTATTATTACTCTGCAGACATGTAAACTGTATGATCATGTTCTGTTATATATCATCATCAGATCAGTTTTTGAAGCAACTTTTAATACCCATTATGAACACTTTTATTTCCCAGTTCAATTATTCCACCTGCCTTCTGCCTTTATACCACCATGTTCAGTCTCCACTCAAGCATTAAACATGAGTTGTGTCTTTCTAATACTAGTGGTGAAGACCCACGAAGTCATCGGTTTTTCCAGAGCATCAATTTCCATCGCCTGGAGGCCGGGCTGGTGGAGCCGCCCTGGGTGCCAAAATCCAATGTGGTCTATGCCAGGAACACGGATGAGTTCAGGGACAACTCTGAGGTCGAGAACATTAAGTTTGATGCCAAGGACGAGAAATTCTTCAACGAGTTCAGCACAGGCGCAGTCTCAGTGAGGTGGCAGAAGGAGATGATCGACAGCGGAGTGTTTGACGAACTGAACGACCCCAAACTGAACGGTCATGGCTGCGAATCTGTGTGGACATCAAGGATGTGCGTCATAATGTAAGGATCTCATCGTTATGTACAACTGGACAAGCAGCAATACATGAAAGTCCTCTAATTTAATTTATTCAAAGTGCCTATAATACTAAAAGAAATACCTCACTTACCTTTTTAAACAGCAACTGGATTTTTTTTGTTTTGTTTTTTAAAGAATTTTTTGGGCCTTTTATTGCCTTTATGATAGAGATAGCTGAAGATGGACAGGAGGGGGGGGCAGGGAGGGGGATGGCATCCAGCAAGGGGCTGCAGGTCAGACTCGAGCCCTGGGCCGCTGCAGCAGGGACTCGGCCTCGATACATGGGTCGCCAGCTCTACCCACTAACCGGGCGCCCAGCAACTGGATTTTTATTAACATTTTTCTGAATGCATTTTCTTGCAAACAGTGGTGGAGGAGTTAAAGTAAAATCTATTTTGTAAGTTTAAAATGAATTATTCTGTATAGGACTGCAACTAATGAGTATTTTCATTATGGATTAATCTGCTGGTTATATTCTACATTAATCGACTGATTGAAAATACGAAAATAGTGAGAAATGCAGTCACAATTACCCAGAGCCCAAAGTGACACCTTGTGCAACCGACAGCTCAAACAGCAAATTAAACTAAATTTAAAAAAAAAAAACACAAAATTATCAAATTAGTTGTTGTACTTGTATAAACTGGGGACCAAAAAGTACTCAGTATATTCCTCTGCAATGAAGTTAAGTAGAAGAAGAAAGAAAAGTAAATACTCAGGTAAAGCACCTCAAATTTGTGCTTAAGTTCAGGAAATTCACTCAGTCACTTTCCACCACTGAAGAGGAATCATCTTGGAAGTTTGAGTCTGTTTCTAAAGATTTTGTCTCAGTGTTTTTGATGATGCAGACAAACACAATGGGACATTTGTCTCAGCAGTAAAATAAAACCACAGTTTTATGTTTTGAGTATTGTGCCTGGATGGAAACACACACTGACAATGCGCTGCAACCGCTCTATTCTTGGTGAGACAGCATATCCCAGTGCATTCATAGTTTCCATTACATCACTCAGTCATTTTGGCAGGCCTAAGTGTTTACATGTGTTTGTAAACAAGCTGCATTATGCTTGTATGTCACTGACTGGCAGCAGGATCATTATCAGTATTTGCCGTGATGTGCCACATTTGTTAGACGGACTGAAGTCTTGCACAGATTCCACGAATGCCTTTTGCTCATGTCAGCTATGCGACTTCAATGCTGCAGTGATGTGAAGTCTTTCAGTAGCACGCGTTCACCACTAAGTGCCGCCAGACACCCACAAAGTTTCTTCAACCTCCCGCAGCACTCTTCATCATCCCCATTAGCCCGGCTGTGCTGCTCAGGTATTTACAAGCATTGGATGACTGGTTCAGCTTTAACAAGGGGATGCAGGGAGACAAATTGTCGTGGACATGTAGTTTTTCCGCTAACATCTTTTTTGTTAACATTGAGTGTTTGGCTTTAACAATGCAATGCCAACCCCCTTTATTACCCACCAAATCACCCTGTGTTTACAAGCCACGCACAACCTAAGAAAGAGACTTTAAGTACTTACGACATAGCAACAACAAACTTCTATTTGGCTTTCACCGATGGTTTGTTCTCGTATCCACATATGGACTCACATCACAGACACTAATGTAGCTTTTACTTCAGAAACTATTTCTTTCAGGTATTTTGACCTTTATTTGAATATGAGCACAGAGAGGAAATAGAGAGGAGATGGAGGAGGGATAACATGTGACAATGGTCCCTGGCTGCACTTAAACCATCTTCTACCTCTGGGCTACCAGGATGCCCCAGCTGTCTTATTTCTGACTCACCTGTGTTTTACTTGATGTACTCTGTAATGAAGATGTACTGTGTAATGAAGATGTACTGTGTCATGTAATCCATGTCTTCTTAGTTTGACTCATAACTCACATACAGAGCTGCATTGTCAGTGCCAATAACATTTTCTTATATTTAAATGTGATTTTATAATGATGACTAAACATTTTCTCATATTTTATGTGACATTTTTGGCTTGTAATGATTTTATATACTGTTTATAGCTTTCTTGCCTCGTGCATGCAAAGCTGTTGAACTCTTTTTTAATAAACGTGATGGAAAATGCTTGAGTGAAATAAAACAATACCCTATGCTACACTGTTGTAATGATTTCTGTTAAATTAGTTGTCGTAGCGATCACATCCACAGTGAGGGGTTAATAGTTATGCAGTTATTTTTGATTATCCTCTTGTTGCTCATCTCAACGCACAGATATCATCAATCATATATCCAGCAGTAGCCAGGTTCAGTCTGAAAGAGGAAGGTGCTTGTCTCTTTAAAACGTCACAGTACCCACAGTACATTTGTAATTACAGCAACACGACATCACCACAATATTTGATTCAAAGTGTATCATCCGTCACTCAGTGTATCACTCCAAACCCTCAGACACATTAAGGTAATGAGGGACACATAAACATGTGTTGTGCTAATTTCTGCGAGGGGGTGACCTTACAGGGCTGAGAAGTGGCTCCATTCACGCTCAACTGTCATGAGATTAGAGGGTGGTTCAGATGGAAATCCAAGACGCAACCCGATCATCGTCGGCTGTGAAGGCAGAGTGGGGAGTCCACCGTGGACGACGTGACGACAAGACAAACTCGGCAGAAGGTCTCCAGGAACATGTTTTTACCAGGCGCCTACAAGCCTCTGCCAGGGTTTAGTTCCCTACGGCCCAACGCTGTAACTACTGCCCCCCAATACACACACTGCACACACACACACACAAACACTGCACATATCATCATATCATCGCACATTTGCTTCATGCATGCAGATACACACACATGCATGCACGTTTATGCATATTCACGTGTTAACGCTGATCGTGCAAGAAAAGACTCACACAGATATCTAAATAAACACTTTAACGCACACACTCTGATACACACTCTCATGTACACACACCCACACACAATCTTATTACCTCTGTAGAAGCAGGCATGGGGTTTTAGAGATCAAAGCAGGACAGGGTGTAATTTGGTATCTGCGTTTGTTACATGCCCATGCTCTGGATTCACATCAAAGGTATGTGCCACACTTCAGCTCTGCCCTGGCATCCTCAGGATGGTATCACAGCAGCGATATTTCTGCTTTTTCCCTTCTTTGGCTGTAAGTGTGTGTCTGCATTTGTGCCACGCATATGTGTGGGTGTGTGTGTGTGTGTGTGTGTGTGTGTGTCGGCGTGCATTTCCATAGATGTAAATTGCACTGATTTGTGTCCATACATGCACTTGTGTGTGCAGGGTGTGTCAGCAAGTGTGTGTGTGTGTGTGTGTGTGTGTGTGTGTGTGTGTGTGTGTGTGTGTGTGTGTGTCTGTATGTGTGTGTGTGTGTGGGTGTGTGTCGGTATTTAGGATAGGTGAGAAAGTGGTTAAACAGTCGAGACAGAGAGGCCATTGTCTGCTGAGGGAAAGTGAAAGCCAGCCATGCGGGAGAGAGATTGAAGGAGGAAGTTGTTGCACGTTGTTTTTTCATGCAATTTTATTTCACAAAAATTCAAAATCAAGAAACAAGAACCAGATTAGGACCTTGAGCGTCAGTGATCTGCCAAGGCGACCCCACTACCGCTCAGGAAGTGTTTAGCTTTTGGTTAACGTTCAATTTTTCTAAGCTTCATTGCTTGAATTCTTAACATTTCCACAAATAAGTGAATTCCTGCGCGGCGGTCCAACAGAAACAGAGTGTGTGTGTGTGTGTGTGTGTGTGTGTGTGTGTGTGGCATGATGTTCTTCCCCACTGAGGCCCAATGGGCAGTTTCCATGGCGCCCAGACCTCAGACCCCTTCCACTGCCAGGGGCTGGACAACGTCATGGATAGAGTCTGATCACACACACACACACACACACACACACACACACACACACACACGCTCGGAAACAGTCCCACACTCTTAGCCCTCATTGTATCTGCGCACCATGTTTGGTCCCTTTACTGCAAAAATCATCTGTCTATGTCATTCAATCTCATGTTCAGACCTCAGATATATTTCTCTTTCAACCAACCAAAAAAAAATGCAGTTCCCTGCATGACTGCCTGTTTTGGAAATGTCTGAGTGGATGTCAATGTCTTTCGTAACTGCACTGCATGAGAAACAAGAAATTCCTGACACAATTTGTATTTAATGCAGGGAAACTATTTCACATTAACAGATTGTTGTAACCTGATCCAAGAAAATTAGATTTTAGGATTCAAAAATAGATGAAAATGACTTTGCAGATCATTCAACCAACCAACGGCTGGGTGACTGCCCCCCAGGGGTCCCAGAGGCCTCAGGTTTACTTAATCGATTTTATAATTTTGTGTCTCTTGTCTTTTAGAGAAAACTTGTGTCAAAATCTAGTTTTAAGATCTTAATTAGTTCAATTACCTAAGGGCCTATAGGAAATATTATTCCAGCATAGGAGTACTGGAGGTTTTTATATCTATTCCAACCATTTATCCATTACCTTTAGCTAACTGTTTGACTTGCTTGCTAACCAGTTTTCACTCTCTCTCAAATGAGTTGTTGAAGTTTAAGACCTTTTTCACAACAGCTATTCTGACACGAAATAGTAGGGTAAACACTCAATCAGTGATACTAATTAAGGTTCCATTCAGGTCAAACAGAGTCAAGGAGCTGCTATTGTGCATGTTGGCTCCCTGAAAAGGCTCTGATACACTAAATGTAACTGAACCTCAATTAGTATCATTGGTAACACCTGTGTTTATCCTACTATTTTATGCCAAAATGGCAGCTGTGAAAAAGTTCTATTGCTATCCTTCTTCTTAACTTTGACAGTTTACCCATTTCCACGATCAGCACTCGCTCTCCGCCACATCTCTCTCCGGTCACCTGTCACTAGGAATAAAGTTCTTTCCCACAAGTAGAAAATCCCAAGGAAACAGCTTAAAGTTCAAAAAGTTACAGCATCCTGAAACCCGAGTTGGCAAGAGTGCAAAGCTTTCTGATGTTCCTCGGCCCTTTACTGCAGGCTGATTGAAGATCAGCACATCAAACGAGAGCAGAGGGATATAATGATACAGAATACTGTATCGGGGAAACACTTTACAACCCCTCGTCCTGAACTGTGAAGGAAAGAAACAGTTGTGGCGCATGTGCTAATGTACTTTAATTACAGTACACCATGCTGCCTTGGGGGTCACTGAC